CGAACAAAAACAACAAAGGTTCTTACAAACAAATTTTACAACTACCCATTAAAATTTTCATTCTCCTTTGATAGTGAAACCGCAACACCCTAACGTGTCTTGGGAAAAACAAAACATCAACAACAACTTAGTTCTTAGTTTCATTATGTTCTTTTTTCTGTTGGAAAGAAATGGCTTTTTTCTTTTGTAATTTTTACCTTTCTTAAGCAAGTAGATAGTGTTTCAAATCTGAGAATTCTTAAAATCTATGTACCAGCACACCACCAAACTGAATCAAAACCCAAAGAAACACAAGACAGTTCAACAAAGCTGATTGCGAACTATATTAAACCTTGTAAACAATTTAAATTATTCCAAATTGATTCTTTAACCTAAAAGTTGCATTTCAGGGTTCTGTAAGGTCTTTTGACCTTTTCACTTCTATACTTTCAACTTTAAAAAGGCAACTTCTTATCAGCAATCCACAAATTTGTAGAATGAGGCCAAAGAATCGGAAGGAATATTGCTTACATCTCCTCAAATTAGACAGCCTAGCTTGGAATAAATATCTTGACATTTTATTACAAAACATTCTCTCACATTGATATCAATTAAAATTTCAGAATGTTAAAGCAATAACTAGCAAGGAAATTGAGTTGTCTGATCTCTTTCTATCTCCAGACACTAATGATACAAACATAACTATTCTAACAGGTACTCATTTTAATGCTGAATTTGGTTGTTTGGGAAAACTGAGCACCCCAACTGAGGAAACCATAATGTAACTCTACTCATTTGAGATAGAGACAAATTCTTAAAATAAAATCAATAATAAACATAAAGTTAAATACAATGTAGTAATTTAAATTCATTTCCTCTCCAACCTCTCACAACCAAAAATATGCTAAAAGAAGCCAAGGTTCAAGAAGATAATAGCTTCGGGATCTTATGATGAACTGTTGGAACAGAAACAGTTATACCCTTAAACATCAAAGTAAGGAAAAGAGTAATAGCTAGAGGTATTGAAGCAAGATGCAACCTAAACTTGATACAGGAAACTATCCGCATTTTAAGTCCACCTAGAATAATAGTCCAACCCTAGTAGACCTATGCTTTCAAATGACATTAATTGCTTCCAAAAGCAACAACCCAAATTCATATTGATTCTAAAAGCGAGTGAAAAGTTGAAGCAGATCATCTTAACTTGAAAGGTTATGCCTAAGACAGTAACATCCATATCTTTGAACGCAGCAGATAACCAATATTACATCGTTGCCAATAACATATAAATTAACATGGACGCCAAGAAACAGAATTAGCTAAAAGTTTTTACAAGCAAACTAAAACGTCCAAATTAGCATTGAAAACCCACATTTATTAATTCATTTTTCATATGGTTTTATTACAATTCCCCACCGATATTTAAATTTAACAATAGAAAATTTCATGCAACTGATAGTAAAATAATATTTGGAACAGAAAATTAAACAAAAGGGTAAAGAGAGAAGGTACCAATCAATGATTTCGATGACAAAAGAGCTTTCTTTTACCCCCAAAAAAAGCCGCAATAGTACGATTTTGATTGAAACAAATTCAAAAAAAGGGGAGGAGAGAAATTTGGAAAAAGAGAAGGAAAGGAGCAATATGGCTTGTAAGTAGTTTTGAAGCAAATTGGGCGACTCTGTATTCTAATTTTCCTTCCCTTTACTTTTTCGCCCAAATGTTTTGGGCAATCTTCCACTAATAGTTCAGAGACAAAGCCCAATATCATTTGGGCTCTAAGTGGGCATGGAAAGCTTAATTTGGGCCAGAGAAGCCCAAATTCTGGCAAAGACGGACCTAGCCTATGACTTAGGCCAATTTGGTTGACGAAAGCCATCCCTAAAGTATTACTCTCCAGGCGACAATTTGTTATAATGGTGTTGATGGTCCATGGGATGGGAGAATTTACAAAAGAGGCTTATTTGCCGTGGTCGGACCATTTTCTACCGTAACAAGTTTGGCACTCCAAAGAACAAGTCAAAGCAGCTGCCGATGAGATTGAGAGTAGAGAGTGAGCAATAGGATGGTTCGATCGGTTTGATTCATCATATTTAAAAATAAAATAAATTAAATATTTTAAAATTTTGATCAAAATCGATCAAATATAAGAGAATATCAAACGGATCAAATATCGAATTGATTCGATTTTGGATCGAAATTATTATTTTTTATGCAAATTACTTTATTAAGATATATATATAAGTTTCATTTATAATTATAAAATATAAAATTAAAATTAGTATTAAAATATAAATTTTATATAAATATAAAAATAATATATAATATTAATTTAATCTTTTGACTAGTTTAGTTTAAATTTTTTTAAATCAATAATTGATTAAATAAATCAATTGGCTCAAATTTTTAAAATTAATAAATTCAATAAATTAATTGAACCAAACTATTTTACTCAAATCATATTAGATTCGATTAAGTTATTAATGATGATAATGACTTCCCAGATTGGGCTTTAGCCATTTTTTTTGTTTTTTCTTTTTTCCTCGTACACTAATCAATAAAAGAAAATCAAGTTTCTTTTACAAGGTGCATTGCACCAAACCCTCCACCAAAACTTACATTATGTTCATTATTAATGGGGTTTAGAGCTCTATTGGAATTTTTTTAGTTAGATTTGTTAATTTTAAACACGACACATTAATACGAAATGAAAATATATAAGATTAAATAAGTTGGAGTTTAATTTTAACGTATCTCGTGTCTTAATATGTCAGACACAAGTAACACGTTTAAAATACATTTAAATACGTTTAATTAATAGTGTTAATTGTGTTATCATGTTTAAATATATATACGTGTTTAATCGTATTATCATATTTAAATGTGTATATGCGATATGTTTATCAACTTGTTAAAATTAATAGTCAAAGACTATTTCAACCTTACTTAAATAATTTTAAATAATTATTTTAATAAGTTTTTTAAATTTTATAAAAATAATAATACAATTATGTCATGTCCAAACCCTAATTTTAAATTTTTATTTTGCTATATTTGATGTTATTATTATTTTGTTTTATTATAATTAATTTTATAATTATTGATTTTAAATTAAAATAATAAATTTATATTTAATTGTAAATATTTTTATTTAATTATGTTAATCGTGTTATTAATCATATCATGTCATATATTAACAAGTTTAATGACGTGTTAATCATGTCGTGTTGTGTTATATAATTATTAAATATATACTTGTATGTGTTTTAAATTTAAAATATAAATATTTTTATCTCATATTCATGTTTAATTTTAATATATTTTATGTATGATCGTGTTTTACATGTTTAAGACATAAAAACATAAATTGTAAGTTTCACTTTGATTTTTGAACACATGATGTTGATTTTGACACCATTGATGGTCATAGCATGATTTCTTTTCCCCTTTGCAATGGAGGAGCTGACCGAACACTGGGCTAGAAATTAACATTGGATTCTAGGCCTAACCTAGGCTTTGGACTTTTAATTAATGGTCCATTTGTAGCGGATCTAATTACAAGCCCAAGCCTGCAATTGTTCATGATCCATTAAACGGACCGTTTTCAATGCGGTCAAACAAACGTTAGCAGAGCTCTGCTTCAGCTTTCCGGCGAAGTAGCGACGGCTTTCATTGCTTTGCTGAAGGGTAGACTCTTTTTTTCTGTTGATTTTCAATTGATCAGTCTTTAGTATTTCTGGGTTTATATTTATATGTTTTTTCTATTATCTTGAATTGTTTTCTTTTCTTTTTTTTTTCTTTGTTGCATGATTTTTTGCTGTGCATATGAATCTAAAGGAGCAAATGTTTGTATTTATTTTTTAAATAATTTGTTTGGGTAACTTGTTACTTTGTTTGAATTATTATGGGGCATTTTGATTTGTTCATAAACATCAATTCAACTTACTCTCAATACTATGCATAAATTTGTCATAACGTGGTTTTAATTTATTGCCAATATATGATTTTCTGAATGCTACTTCAATTCTCATTTTATCTCATTCATATTGTAGATTAGTTGAACTTGCTACAGGTCTTACGCTTATCCGGATTGCAGCTGATAATTTCAAGATGGTGTATGAAATAACTGAGCAAAAAAGTAAGCATAGTTTTCTTATGTAAATATGAGCTCATTTGGACTTTGCACACAGTGACCTTACCATGCTTGATATGGATTATTGAACCATTATATCTTTTGCCGTGATAGACATGCGCCAATGTGCTAATTGTGTAGAATAATTTTGTTTCACTAGATGTAATTATCATGTGATTGGGTATTTGATGTGTGCAGGCTTCACCAAAGAGCATTTGTCTGTCTTCATGAAGATTGTTTTGTTTTAAATTATGGTTCTTTTCAAATGCTGTTAAATTAACATCTAAATTCCATTTTCTTAAATTCCAATGTCATAGAATCTTCTACTTATATATTTGTCATACTACCTCACCTAGTGTATGATTTAAGCATGATGTAGTTTCTTTGAATTTTATGTGAGCTTATTAGAATGCAAAAAAGTAGGCTGTCATAAAGTGACTGAACCTACATTTGATTGCATTCTGTCAAGCATTGATGTTGGGTCATGAGCAGTCTTCTGGTTTTGAATGTATGGACGGGTAGTTGGTCATAAGCATACATGAAGCGAAGTTTTATTAGGTGTCAAATTCACCATGTAACTTGAACAAAATTAATATTTTACTGAACTTGTTTGACTGTAATTATTTCTATCGTCTCTTGAGATATTTAATTAGTTAATGCAACTTTGGCTTGTAAGACGAGAAATTTTGGCCTAATTTTGCAGAGATTGGCTTGGGTCTTATTGGCTTTGGTATCTTCTTCTCATTTCTTGGTGTAATCCTCTTCTTTGACAGGGGTCTGCTT